TAGTTGCCCTCCCCTCTCCCAGCCTTTCTCTTCCCCTCTCCCACCTCCTTTTCCCAGTCTCCCCCAGTTTTGTTCAATAAAGACAGAGTCAATGTTGGAAGAAACGTTATCTTTATTTTGTACATCAGGAAGGGGGGCTAGGGAAGGGTAAGTGGAAGGAAGTGAGGGAGGAATGGGGTACGAGCCCCCGATGGGGAGGACTGGGCTGGCTCTGTGGGCTTCTGGGGGTGGAAGCTCTCCTGCAGCCCCCCATTTCCCCCCTCTCCCCAGATGGCAGCCTGCGGCAAGTACAGCCGGGCTGATGGCCGAGTGCTGTGATGTGCCTAGTGTGGGCACTCCGGGCACTCCAAGCCAGGACTGCTTTGCAAGCAGGGCACCCCTAAGAACTGTCTGTCCGGGGTGGGGGTCGGGTCCCTTTAAGCGCAGCCCTTGGCTAGCCTGAGACAGCATCTCCATGCTCTAAGTCCTCCTCTGATGCCCTGCCGGCACTGCTTCCGGCCATCCTTAAGCCTGGTTCAGGGTCCACTCAATGTGGACATGCCAGTTCGAATTAGCAAAATGCTAATTCAAACTAGTTTTTAGTTCTAGACGCGTTAGTTCGAATTAGCGCTGTTGTGTAGACATACCCTAAGATAGTGTTTTAGGTCTATTTCCTGTGGTGTTACATCTCCCCCTCTCCAGCCACTACGAGGCCTGCGGGGATGCCTGCCCGGCCAGCTGCTCCGACCGCACTGCCAACGCCTCCTGCCCAGAGCCCTGCGTGGAGACCTGCCAGTGTAACGCCGGTTACGTCCTCAGCGCCGGGCAGTGCGTCCCCGTGGGGAGCTGTGGCTGCGACTACAACGGCCGCTACTACCAACCCAGCGAGGAGTTCTGGGCCGATGAGAACTGCCGCTCTCGGTGCAGGTGTGACCCCAGCCTGGGCATGGTGCTTTGCCAGGAGACCAGCTGCAAGGCCAGTGAGAGATGCGCCGTGGTCAACGGGGTCCGGGGCTGCCAGCCAATCAGCTACTCCACCTGCACGGCCTCCGGGGACCCTCACTACACCACCTTCGATGGGAAGAAGTACGACTTCATGGGCACCTGCATCTACCAACTGGCGGGGGTCTGCTCCCAGGACCCCACGCTCACCCCGTTCAGCATCAAGGTGGAGAATAACAACCGGGGAAGCAAGACTGTGTCCTTCACCAAGGCGGTGACCTTGGAGGTGTATGGCAGAAACATCACTCTCAGCCAGCAGCATCCCCGCAAGATCAAGGTAGGGGCAGAGAGCCGCAGGGCTGCTTGGGGAGCTGGGAGCAGGAACTCTTGCCCTTGAGCCAATGCCCCTGGTTTCTCTCCCCATCGAAGTGCCAAGTCCGGCCTCCCCTGCACACTGAGCTGGCGGGCGACTGGGAAGTACGTGTGCGCCTCCTTGGGGCTCGGTTTGGAAGGGCAGTTCAGCTGGTAACCTCCTGGGCACCCAAAGCACTCGCTCCTTCACCTGGGCACTGAGCTGTGTTGATTCTGGGAGGGCTGCTCCGACCATCAGGGCTTTTCGACACGGATGGCGTTTGTGGGCCGACCCTCCTATAACACTCCTGGCCCTAGAGCCCACGCCCCTGGCACAGCCAGGAATGCAGTCCAGGAGTCCTGGCTCGAGCACCTGCTGCAGCGATGAGATCACACTCTCCTTGCACAGCCAGGCACAGAATATAGAGTCCTGACTCCCAGGCTACCCTGCTCAATCCCAGCACACACTAGCCCCCTGCAGAGCTTGGGACAAGAGCCCGAGTCCTGGGTGCCCCCCTCTCCTCGCAGTGTTTGCTCACAAGTGAGCCCAGTACGGCCGTGTCTCTTCCAGGTGGACGGAGTCTTTGTGGATCTGCCTTTCTACCATGAGGAGAAGCTTCAGGCCTATGTCAGCGGAGCCCACGTCCTCATCAAGACTGCCTTCGACCTGAGGGTGACCTTTGACTGGAACAGCCTGGTCCGGGTCACCGTGCCCAGCACCTATGCCAACGCCCTCTGCGGCCTGTGCGGCGACAACAACCAAACCGCCAGTGACGACCTGACCATGAGGGACGGGAGACGGGCGGCCAACGCCGTCCAGTTCGCAGAGAGCTGGAAGGTGGAGGAGAGCCCAGGGTGCTCGGACATCTGCACCGGGAACTGCCCTCTCTGCAGCGAAGCTGAGAAACAACCCTACAAAGGCCCTCGGTTCTGTGGGCTCCTCACCACAGGGGACGGGCCCTTCAGAGAGTGCCACAGAGTCATCAACCCCGCCCCCTTCTTCGACGACTGCGTCTTGGACACCTGCCAGTACAAGGGTCACCGTGACGCCCTGTGCAGCGCGATCGGTGCCTACGTGGCGGCCTGCCAGGCCAGGGGCATCCCGCTGGGGCCATGGAGATCGGCCTCCTTCTGCAGTAAGTGTCGCTAATTGACGCTGCTTCATGAATTGGCTCATGTGCATGTCCTCCGGGTCACCGACAGGAAGGGTTACTTCCTTGGCAAGGCTTTTACCTCATGCTGAAGAAACGGAGCCCCGTCCACTTGCCAGCACCTTTGTCCCAGGGCTTGGAAGTGCTTTGCCATCCGGGTGCAAGGCAGAGAGAAGCCAGTGGCAGAACCTAGGAGTCCTGACTCCCAGTCTGCACTGCTTTAACCCTCTAGACCCAACCGCCCTTCCACACCTGGGATACAAGACAGGAGATCTGACCCCTGCTCTAATCAGTAGGCCCATCTCCCCTCCCAGCATCTAATCCATGAGGCCTGGCTCCCAACCACCCAGAACAATGCTATTGTATGTGATATGATTTGTCTCCACTTACCTGCACATTTCTTCCTTCCCTCACCTCCTGTGCATGTTTCCTCTTCTTCCTGCAGGCCCCACCTGCCCCCGCAACTCCCACTACGAGCTCTGTGGGAACGGCTGCCCTGCCACCTGCCACGGCCTCTCAGCGCCAGATGGCTGTGACGCCCCCTGTGCCGAAGGGTGTTTCTGTGACGCTGGATTCCTCCTGAGTGGAGACCGGTGTGTCCCCGTCGCGCAGTGCGGCTGCATGCACCATGGCAGGTACTACCGGAGGGGAGAGGAGTTCTACCCCAGCACCTCCTGCCAGGAGCGGTGCCGGTGTCAAGACAACGGGGCCGTCGAGTGCCGGGAGGCCTCGTGCAGAGCCAGCGAGCAGTGCAGGGTGGAGAACGGAGTCCTGGGCTGCCACGCCAAGGGCTGTGGCAAATGTGTTGCATCTGGTGATCGTCACTATCTGACCTTCGATGGACGGGCCTTTGATTTCCAGGGCAATTGCACTTACAGCTTAGCCAGAGTCTGCAGTAGTGACGCTGGGCTGGCCAACTTCTCCGTGTTGGTAGAAAATAGAATCTATGGTAATGGCCAATTGTCAGTGGCACGGACGGTGAGAGTCTCTGTTCATGGCTACACTGTCACCATGGAGAGGGGAAGGAAATGGAAAGTCACGGTAAGTCCTGTCTGCGATTACGCTCATTGTAGCCTAGAGTGACGTGTGTGTGTGTGTGTGTGTGTGTGTGTGTGTGTGTCCATAACACAGCTTCTGAGTCCCCACTGATGACGAAGTCATTTCTCACTCATTGGCACAGGTGGATGGGGAATTCTACACTCTCCCACTGGCTACCGATGATGGGAAACTTTGGATCAACCAGGAGGGGAACAACATCATTGTCCAGTCTGCTTCTGGCCCGAAAGTCCTTTACGATACGTCCTATTATGTCCTAGTCTCCGTCCCCAGCTCCTACCAGGGACACGTGTGCGGCCACTATCTGACCTTCGATGGACGGGCCTTTGATTTCCAGGGCACTTGCACTTACAGCTTAGCCAGGGTCTGCAGTAGTGACACTGGGCTGGCCAACTTCTCTGTGGTAGTAGAAAATGAGAGCCAAGTGTCAGTGACACGGACGGTGAGCGTCTCTGTTCATGGCTACACTGTCACCATGGAGAGGGGAAGGAAATGGAAAGTCACGGTAAGTCCTGTCTGAGATTACGCTCATTGTAGCCTAGAGTGACGTGTGTGTGTGTGTGTGTGTGTGTGTGTGTGTGTGTCCATAACACAGCTTCTGAGTCCCCACTGATGACGAAGTCATTCCTCACTCATTGGCACAGGTGGATGGGGAATTCTACACTCTCCCACTGGCTACCGATGATGGGAAACTTTGGATCAACCAGGAGGGGAACAACATCATTGTCCAGTCTGCTTCTGGCCCGAAAGTCCTTTACGACACCTCCTATTATGTCCTAGTCTCCGTCCCCAGCTCCTACCAGGGACACGTGTGCGGCTTGTGTGGCAACTTCAACGGTGACAAGAACGACGACTTCCTGCTGCCCAGTGGGAAGAGCGCCCAGAACGCGGATGAGTTTGGGGCTGCCTGGAAGGTGCCCGTTGAGGGTGTCACATGCTCCCATGGTTGTGGGGACAGGTGCCCCATCTGCGATGCAGCAAAGATGGTGCCGTACCAGGCTGAGAGCTCCTGTGGGTTGATCAAAGCTCCAGCCGGTCCCTTTAAAGACTGTCACTCGCTCGTCAGCCCTGCCGAATATTTCAGCCATTGCCTCTATGACATGTGTGCGGCCAACGGAGCCAGGGAAATCCTCTGCCAGAGCCTGCAGGCCTACGTGGCCGCATGCCAGGCAGCTGGAGGCACAGTCAGAGCCTGGAGAACGGCCTCTTTCTGCCGTAAGTTTGTTTTCCTCTGAATGCGCAGTTAGTGTCGCTGTCACAGCCCCTCTCCAAGCGTTCTGAGGGGTCAGTGGCTCTTTAGGAGTGACTGCAGGGGATGGGCCGGGTGAGGCAGGCCTGGTCTACACTACTCCTAGAAATCCGATTGGCCTAGCCACATCGCTCCAGGCCGTGAGAAATTCCACCCCCGGTGCGAGGTAGCTAGGTCGCCCTCAGTCTGCTGTCCACACAGCTGTGTCCATGGAAGAATTCTCCCACCCACTGAGCCACCGTCTCTCAAAGAGGCAGATTAACTGCACCAATGGGAGAACCCCTTCTGTAGATGCAGGAAGCATCTACAGCAGGGTGTTTCAGCAGCATAGCTGCCATGCCATAGCTGTGCCACTGGACCGGCTGCAGTGCCAACATCGCCTCAGATTTTCCTGTCTCTCTCTCATTTGCTTCTGCCTCTCCAGCTTTCACCTGCCCGGCCAACAGTCACTACGAGCTGTGCACAAGGTCCTGCGATTTCACATGCGCCGGCTTGTTCTCCCCTGCCCAGTGCACTGCGAAGTGCTTTGAGGGCTGCCAGTGCAACGCTGGCTACGCATTCAATGGGGAAACGTGCGTGTCCATGGAAGGATGCGGCTGCCTGCATGACGGGCGCTACCTCAAGGTGGGTGCTGGGGTATCAGGAGGCTGTCGGCCTTGAGGCTTTTTGCATTGGCTGCCTGTGTAACTTTGGGACTGTCCCAGCTTCCCAGCGGGAGTTCCAGTGACTGTGTCTGTGTCCTAGAGCTGCCCTGCCTTCAGTCACCCCCCTGCCATCCGCTGCCATCTAGAGCATTGGGCTAGAAGAGCTTCAAACACCTGCCCTGCCTGATCCTGGCACCTGGAAATGAAACCGTATGCCATATCCTGGGCCGGTCACAGGAAATCCATTGGAGTGGATGGAGAATGGGATAGGGAGCCCTTCCCCACGAGGGGGCGCCATCTTTGGTCCACCCCTAGCATGGGAGACTGGGTGGTTCAGCGAGTGGGGGATGGGACATGGGACGGTTAGGGGAAGTGGAGGCTGGGAGGATGGGGAATGGGAGAGAGGCCTTTCCTGTCTAGGAGCTTCATTCACTTATCAGAGAGCCTCGCTGGGCCCCTGGCAAGGGGGGTTGGTCCCTTCTCAGTGCTCCCATAAGGAGCAGATACTCAGGGGCCAGGGGCAGGGTGAGAGCTAGGCAGCCCTCAGGGCAGCCAGGGAAGAATCCCATCTCCCCCAGGCAGCCCTGCTCTGGGAAGTGCAGTGCTACCACTGTGACAGAAAGGGCCCGTGGATCTGGTCTCCATTGCCGCTTCTGCAGTAGCAGCAGCCTGGAGTTCTGGGCCCTTGTCTCACTGATTCCTGGGCATCTGCCCCTTTGCACCTCCTGTCAGCAGCCTGCTTATCATGGTCCATTTTCAGCCCAGGCAGGCAGTAGGGATATGATAGCATGTCCCGGGCTCATCAGTTAACCCTCACAGCTAGACACAACCACCCCACCCCGCCACTGACCCTGCGCTGCAGCCTCAGTATCTGCCAACTCGCTTCCCCTCTGTGCATCTGTCCCTTTGTCTTCTTCCCAGGAGAGAGCCCCTGCGAGCCCAGCTCTTCACCCAGCTCAGGGCCTTTGCTTTGCTTCCTTGTAGCTACATTCCTTTCTCTGGGTAGTCGGTCAGTGCAGATGACTGTCCCGGGTCTTGGGGTTTCCACTGTCTCTTCCAGGTCCTCCATTCACAGGCCTGGACTTTATTCCATTTGTTACTAACATATAGCTGTCCAACAGGCATATGAGTCTGATGCCCCACTCCCTTTCCTTTACACAGTGCACAGAAGTACAATGTACCCAGGGAAACTGAGGCACACATAGAGCTAAAAAAATATTACTAAAATTCCCAGTTTCTGCTCAGATTATTGCAGCACAAAACAGCTTGGGATATGCCCCCAGAGGTCCCAGTGGCACACATGGTAGCGCTCAGCCTCACGGGGGAGGGGGATACAGTAATTTGAGTAGGATTTTGCAGTTTGGCTGTTCACACCTGGGCTAAGATACTTGGGCAGAAGAAAGATCCCCCGAAATAACTCTGCTCACTCAGTATTGATAGGTAAGCCCCCAGCGTAACGGGACCCCGACCTCCACAGCCTCCCACAATTTAAACAATCAAAGGGAGCTTTAAGTAGATCCCATCTCGGGATTTTTCTCGCACTGCTTTGCTGTAACAAATTTGTTGGGAATTTCCCTGCAGGCCGGGGAGAGTGTCATCTCCAGCACTTGCTCAGAGAAATGCACCTGCCAGGCCTCAGGCGGGCTCGTCTGCAAGCCACACAGATGCCTTGTCCAGGAGATCTGTGCGCTACAGGAGGGGGTGCGCAGCTGTGTGAAGCAGAAGGGCCGGTGCATCCTGCTCCCGGGAGGCCAGCTCACCTCCTTCGACGGCGCCTCTGGTGGAGATCTCCCCAGTGGAGCGTACGAGCTGGCGTCTCTCTGCAACAGCAGCACCCCCTCCTGGTTCAGGCTGGTGGTGGAGGTCAGGGCCTGTGGTGACGAGGGACGCACGGCTGGGACGACCGCCTACATTTTCTTCCAAGATGCCTTCATAGCTGTGAAAAGGAGCAAGGAGACCTGGGTAAGAGGGGCCCGTGTCAGAACAGCCTCAGGCCAAGGGGCAGGCAGCTCATTCAGCGGCCAGTGAATTGATGAACATTACAGGGATGTTGACCCTCATAACCGAGGCCCATCTGGGCAGCTCGGTGACCAGTTCATGAGCCGCACGAACCCCCTGTGCTGACAGGATGTGGGGTACAGGCTCTGGGGGTGGCAAGCGGTGGATGAACAATTATTCAGTAGCAAAGAATGAATTAGAGCCCAGGAGTCCTGATTTCCCCCTGTTCTAGCCCTCCAGAGCCCACTCCCCTTCCAGAGCTGGGGATGCCATCCAGGAGTCCTGCCTCCCAGCCTCTGCCCCTCCGCCTCCCTCGCTGTGTCCCACGCGGAAGGTTGGAGGAGAGGCAGGGACACTGTGACCCAGTGGGGGACCTTGGCTTCAGAGAAGGACCTGACCATTGAGGGAGAGACCCCTCCACTGCAGCCGTACCTGTCCGTATGGGGAGATATCCTTTCCCCTTATGATTACCCAATACAGCAGAGGGAGGTGTCAGAGGCATGGTCATAGAATCTTAGGGTTGGAAGAAACCTCAGGAGGTTGAGTCCAACCCCCTGCTCAAAGTATCATGGTGGCCATTCGGAACTCGATAGCTTGAATGGCTGTTTGCAGCACTGCCATAGGCATGTTGGTCCCAGGGTGAGGGAATATCTTGTATTGAACCAAAGTCCGCTGCTGGAAGGGACTGGCCTGGAGCTAGGCAGGCCTGGAGAAGAGCTCTGTGTATCCTGAGAAATTGTGCTGCCACCAACAGAAGTTGATCCCCTATTACATCACCCACCTTGTCTATCTCTTGATTGGCTGCTCTCATTTATGTGTAAATTAGGGTATTAAATCATTTACATAAGGTCTCTAGAGTTCTTTACTTTTCTCTCTGGGTGTATGTCTACACTAGCCCCCTAGTTCAAACTAGGGAGGCTAATGTAGGCATTCAAAGTTGCAAATCAAGTCTGGGATTTAAATATCCGCACTTGATTTGCATCTTCCCGGCCAGTCGCCATTTTTTGAAATTTACAAGTCTGGACTAACTGCCCGCGTCTACACGCGGCAGGGACCTGGTATTTTGAATTAAAGCCCCTAAATCGAACTATCTGTTAAACCTCCTTGCAGGTTTAACTAGGGGGCTAGTGTAGACATATCCTTAGAGACATAATTGCTCACAGGTCCGTACCACTAAGGGCAGGAGGGACTTTTGCCAATCAAGTTGTCCATGCAAATCGCTGCACTTTCATAGGGTACTGAGCAAATTGGAACAGTTTGCTCTCCAGAGCACTGGTCCTTGATTGGCTCCTTGGTGTTTTCTGCACTTCTCCTCCTAACTGTGTAGACCTTTAATGTGGCCCAGAAACACTAGATCCCATTACCTGGCATTGGGGCTCATGGACTCTAGATCTAGTATTATAATGGGGCCTGTAGACTCTAGAACCTGCTGCCATGTAATGTTGTCTGTGAACTCTGGCTCAGCTCCAGCCCCCATTTCATTCACCCCAATCAATGGCCAGTGCTCTGGAGAGCAAACTTTTCTGATTCACTGAGTAGTTGGGACTGGTCCTGCTTTGGGCAGGGGGCTGGAATTAATGACCTCCTGAGGTCTCTTCCAGCTCTATTCTATGTTCCCTGGCTCTCCTCTGACCTATATCTGTGTCTCCCAGGTGAACGGGCGCTCGATGCAGCTCCCGGCAAAGGTCTCCGACGCGGTGTCTGTGAGTGAGTCTCAGGGCGGTGTGGCCGTGGTCCAGGCCTCGGGGGTGCAGGTTCTGTTCAGCCCCAGAGGGCAGGTGACGGTGCGAGTCGGCGAGAGCCTGGCTAACAAGCTGTGCGCATCCTGTGGAAACTTCAATGACGACATCTCCGACGACCTGCGGCTGCCTGGCGGGGGCTTTGCAAGGAACATCACTGAGGTCGTCAGTGCCTGGAAGGCTGGAGATTTCTCTGGGTGGTGAGTGGCTCTGCAGAGGCTGCCCTTTTCGCCAATCGTTCTGTGGTGATCTATAGGTGCCTCCATGGGGATGATAGTGTGACTGTAATTCTCTGGCCTATGCACTGCAGAAAGTCAGACTAGATGCCCATATGCTCCTTTTGGCCTTAACTTTTAAGGGCAAAGGATTCTTTCAGAGACCTCTTCCCAGCCTGAAGGAGGCTGATTAACTCCTCTTCTGCTTTTGTTTTCTAGTGGCATCTAAACAAACCCTGGCTGCTGAAGCATCTTCCCTCCCTTTGGTGGATCTGCTGCCATCTTAGTTAGGAATTGTTCACAGTGCCATTGCTGTAGCCTGCGTGACTGCTTGTGTCCGCTAGGCCATTGAGTGGGAAAGTCTTTGTTCTGATGGTCAATAAAAACGAATTAACCTGCAGACATGATTGGGAACCAATAAAGTCACCTTTGCAAACCTCATTGAGTGATTTTATTGGATCTGCCTGTTTCTATCTGAATGTAGCTTTATTTGAAGAGATAAAAAAGTCCATGTTTCTCAACCATAGCAACAAGACTTCAATCTGTGTTAGCATTCCCCTCCTGGCTATACCTCTCTTTCTCTTTCTCTTACACACACACACACTTTTCTGTTAAACATAGCCATTTAAAATCAAAACAAGATATCCAAAAGTAGTGGAGTTTCAATGTTTATAGAGGTTTTCATGGTCATTCATAGATGTTTTCAGAGAGACATAGGGTACTGTTTATAAGAGGAAAACATGTTGCCTATAATACAAAATGCTATTTTTTACAATAAAGAGACAAAATTGATTATCAGTAGAGTAAGCTTTTGCTGCTACTGAAAGATAGAAAGAAAATATAACCAAGCCTTCCCATTTGTTTTCCACAATCCTGCTGGTTAATTTCGTAAATTCAGTGAAGTGACAGAAATGTTTATTACTTAGCTGCTGAACAAGCTGAAAATGAATCAACCAACTGACAAAAAGTAATATTTTCTAGTTTGCAGAGGACACTTACCAATCAGTTGCAGTTCCATCTGATTTAGTTCAGGTCACATACTGAAAATTAGCAGGTATCTAGGGGAAAATAAGAGTTTTAATGTTAGTTTTTGTTACTGCACTGGTTGGAAAGAAGCAAAAGTCTGAAACTCAGCCTGCATCTTAACTACATAAAAAGTATGTTTAAAACTTTTATTCTACACGTTGATGTATGTGTATGGCTTCTTGCACCAATATAGAGCTACATTAAGACTTTGGGCAAACATCACATAGCAGAATGTCTCTGGAGACTGCTTGACCACATTACATTATAGGATCAGGGTTTAAATTACTTTAAAATACTTGTTAGTAGAATTAACCTATGAAGAAGCATTTGCAAATTAGAATGCGTAACAATTTTATACATCCCCATAAAGTGTTCTAAGATTAACTAAATTTATTATGGAAAAAAGGAATAACTGAGATTCATTTATTAACTTTTAATGAAATATTGAGGACTTTCAAGTATTGTTATCTAACTATAATTACTGTACTGAGTCAGAAGCAAAGATGGAAGAAAAGCAAAAACAAATGATACGAGCAAGTCTGACAATGGAATTTCTAAGCAGTTCATATTCGGCTGAAGTAAATTGGTTCAGATGTGGTATTGGTGATAATGGAGTTATACTTATCTGGAGCAGCAGATAATCTAGTCTGAAGTCTTGGTTTTTTCCTTGTCTGGAATTCAGCTTTTCCTATTTTTGAAGTGGAAATTGTAGTTGTTAGGTTTGTGACACTGATTGTATTCATCACTTGAAGGGCATCTGTGGATTCCATCTAACAGAAATAAAAACCGCTCTCAAACACCCATAATTTCTTTCAAAATAAACAACCTTTCTCTTCACAATGTGCTCTTTTATGTTTCTTCAGTCACTCTTATCCTGATGGAACTATCTGACTTTAAACTTTTACATTTTATTAAATTCAGAGTTGGCATCAGTGTTCAGAATGCCTGAAAATGTAAACATATAAGCAGAATTTGACAATAATGATTTACTTAAAGGAATACACATCCAATGGGGAAAAAATCAACTTGAATATCATTTACATAATCATAGAATCATAGAACCATAGAGCTGGAAGAGACCTCAGAAGGTCATCAAGTCCAGCCCCCTGCTCTAGGCAGGACCAATCCCAACTAAATCAACCCGGCCAGGGCTTTGTCAAACCAAGACTTAAACACCTCTAGGAATGGAGACTCTACTACTTCCCTAGGTAACCCATTCCAGTGCTTTACCACTCTCCTAGTGAAATAGTTTTTCCTAATATCCAACCTGGACCTCTCCCCCACTGTAACTTGATAATGAAGTTACTAGAAAAATAAAAGCTACAAAACATCTCAACTACACAGTACTGAAACTCCCGGCTTCCTTTCTACAAATTTCCATTTCACTTCACACACTAGTATTGATTTTAATGTGGGGCATATTTTCCATGTCTACTAAATATGGTTGACTGTGGTGCTTTCTGTTTTCTTAGTCCATAATCCAATGGATTTCAAAGACAATGGAAAGACTTCTGTTGGCTACAGTGCACTTTGGAGCTAGTTCTTGATGACTAGATGAAAGTATCACACATGCCTTATTTAGCAGAGAATTGGCCCAAGATGCACCTGTTTGACAGCTATAAGGCAATCTATAATTGCCATAGAAAACCAACTTCTAAGTCAATTGAAAGGAGTATGCTTGTTTACAGCAATGAAGACTCAATTGACAATTAACGAGGTCCTAATCAAACCCATCTCTGTTTAGGCACGTACTTAAGTCTCATTAAGTTCCAAAGATTTAGCATCTGCTTAAGTGCTGTCCTGAAGCAGATGCTTTCCTGTATGGGCACTTACATAAACAAAAAATGTTGTGCAAACCATGTACTGGCTCTTCTTGAAGCTGCAAGAGACTAACATGGCGGGCAGTGTTTATAGGAACTATGCTGAAAGTTGGAAGCCATGTATTTGGGCTGTATTACAACTTCAAGCCAGAGACTACGGGAGTAACCCTGTACTCCTAGCTCCAGTGCCTTTGGATATAAAGCTGTGACATGGTAGAGCAAGTAGCTGACTATAAGACTCTAACATGCAATGCCTTTAAAAATCATTGCACAGAAATTTAAACATCAATTTGATCAAATTAATTCATTAGTAAAAGAACTCAAGGGAGATCACTGAGCTGAAAAGGAATATATTAGATTGAAGAGGTACAATTATAAAAGTTCAAATTGATAAGAGATATTAATGTCAACAGCAAAGGATAATTATTTGGGGCTGAGGCTACATGTATTAAAATTTTGTGCAGTACTCCTATTTATTCCATTGTGATAGTCTCACAAGGTAGCAGGTCCCTCTAGATAGACTAGGCCCAGCTCCCCTAGACTGGGTCCAGCTAGATCAGAACAGGTGAGTCCAATCTGGCAAATTAAAGAAGGCTGGGCCACACCCAAGCCTCTAAAGGGTTAATAGTTGGGAGAAAAAAAGCCGGGATTGAGTGAGATGGATTATGCCTGGAAAAAGAAAGCCACAGTGGAGTGGAGGTGGTCAAAACTGGGAAATGTCCAGAGATTTTTTTTAGAGGAGTTGAGGTGAAGCCTGAAAATAAGGACTAAGTTAAAAAGCTGTCCTTCTATTTGTGTAATTTCTTATTGCAAGAGACTTGGAACTACAATGGATTTTTAAGGAGAGAAGCCCAGCTCATTGACAAATCTCTTTCCATCTCTCATTGAAGAAAGAGGCACTCTGCTGTCAGTATTTAATATTTAGATATTTAGATTATATGAACAATTGATTGCCACAAAACTGGGTGGATTTTTCTGAGGTTTTGGAATTTTGTTTTTATTCCACATTAGCTCAGAATGATTAGGGAGCTGAGACACCTGACTTAGGAGGAAAAGCTGAGGGAACATGGCTTATTTATCTTGAAGAAGAGAACATTGAGGGTGGTATTTGATTCCCCTCAACTAGAGGGGAAGGGAGGGGAGGGGAGGGGAAGGGAGGACCCTGGGCATGGACTTGGAAGGGTGCCGGCTGTGGGTGGAAGAAGGTTTTTTGGGGGGACTTCTAGGGAGTTGTGAGCCTCCCCTGTGCAGAGCCAGGCTGCAGAATCCCTCAGGAGCAGCCTGTTCTGGAGCCCCATTAAGGCAGAGGGGGCGATGCAAGGTTACTGGGGGAGTCACAGGCAGTGGTTAGGAACTTAGGAGACTCTAGTGGGGGACAGATTGGGGCCTGGATGGTGGGAGCAGGGACAAGGGCGAAAGCAGACGGGGGGCTGCAGACAGGGGAGTTTGACAGAGGGAGGCCTACGATGGTCAGGAAGATCTGCAACTCCTGTGCCAGCACTGCTTCTGTCTCCTCCACCTGCACCTGGAGCCAGACAGAGCGCCTAAGCATGGATGCCTCTGCCCAGATCCTGGTGTGGTTTTGCAGGGACTGTGGCTTGCAATTCCCACTTAGGGTATGTTAGGGCTAGTTCGAACTAACTTAGGGTACGTCTACACAACAGCGCTAGTTCGAACTAACTTAGTTCGAATTAGTTAATTCGAACTAAGCTAATTCGAACTAACGCGTCTAGAACTAAAAACTAGGTGCCTAACAAAGGTGCCTGCTGGTAGAATCTCTCAGGCAGCAGGTGGGAGAGCTACAGGAGGAGGTGGCTAGGTTGAGGAACACCCGAATCCACGAGCAGTTCCTGGATTGAGTTCATGATGAGACAGCTGAGGTAGCTGTCCCAGTACACAGGACTGTGGGCACACCGCTGGTGGAGGAGGAGACGGCTCAGGGTGGACACTGGCAGCTGGTTACTTCTGGCAGCAGGCACTGCTCCACCCCGCTCCAAACCCTCCCGCCGTGGTACTAGGAAACCATTATGCTCTTCTTTATACAGGAGAGAAGGAATCACCCCCTACAACGAAGGAGGAGAAGCCTCGTACCCCTAAGGCTGGGAGGTCTGCTGCTATCACTGAGAATAGGAAACGTAGATAGTGGTGGTCGGAGACTCTCTTCTGAGGGTGACGGAAGCACCTGTCTGTCGCCCTGACATTTCATCTTGGGAGGTATGCTCTCCACTGAGGGCCCGTATCTGAGATGTTACGGAGGCATTGTCGAGGATTATCCAGCCCTCTAACTACTACCCCATGCTACTCATCCATGTGGGCACTAATGATACTGCCAGGTGTGACACTGAGAGGATCAAGAGTGACTACAGGGCTCTGGGAGTACGGGTGAAGGAGTTTTGAGCGCAGGTGGTGTTCTCTTTGATCCTTCCTGTCGCAGATAGGGGCCAGGGCTGACAGCTGCCTGGCTGCGAGGATGGTGTTGCCAGGAGGGCTTTGGCTTCCTCGACCACGGGATGCTATTCCAGGAAGGACTGCTGGGCAGAGATGGCGTTCACCTTTCAAGGAGGGGGAAGACCCTATTTGGA